ACCTTCCCACAGCTCTCTCAGTCTCCTCCTAACTTGGTTCCTTCCCAAGCAATCTGAGGCTCCTTCATCTTGCCCATCTTTGCTCTGCCCTCTTCATACCTATTTGGGTTCTGGGAGACCAGAGGGAAGGGGAGCTGCCTATTGCAGGAGGTTAAGACATCCTGGCTTCCTCACCAACCTGTCTGCCTCATCTCTGCCTCTTGGCCTCCCTCCTCTCCTGCATCAGCTTCTACCTCTGATTCTGGACTGCTCTCTGCCCTAGCTTCATTCCTGCTCACTAAACCCTGTTACCTCTTCAGGTTTTGGCACCCCTTCCTCCCAGTCTGTTCCTCCTTCTCTCTCTGACCACTCATTGTCATCCCACCACCAACCCCCAAGCTCTGAGCCTTTTTCCCTTGGGGGTTCCCTTGGGGACACCCCTGCTGGTGCCTTCCACCTCTGCTCTGCATCCAGCTACTCTATGATACTGGATTTCTAACTAAAGTGGATAGACTATTTGCTAGGCAAAAGTTTCACAAAAATACTTACAATAACTACTTTTTCTTTTGCACAACGGTCAAGTTACTTTGTTGACTGTTTTCCCATCCCCGTAATGTGGATAATGTGCCCTTTAAGTTGTAGAAACACAGCAAAGTCATCTTATTTTAGCTTCCAAATGATGGGATAAGAAGAGATTTAAAATATTCCATCATCTGGTTTGTCCTTTGCTAAGCTAATTTTTGATTCCTTCATGGTAATTGGAGTGTTTGATGTCAATGGACTATGCCACTGACAAATCTTCCCTTTGTTGTTACTGTTGTTCTTTGCTTTTCTTGGGAAAAATCTGCCCTCAGTGTCCCAGTTTAGCAGGGAAGTACAGGGCAGTACAGTTAGTACTTGTTTTACTACTGTAGAATCTACGAATCATTAGCCGCAGGGGTCCCATAATATTCAAAAACAAGCAAAATACTGTACTAAATTTAAAACTAAAATGAGTGAGTCATTAAGGCCAGATAGCTTTAACCATACCACTGTGCTTCGTAATTCCTTCATTTTAACATGAACCTTTGTGATTTGTAATGCTCACCTCAAATACAAGACGAACATTTCTACCACACTCCCATTCCCTCAAGCTTCTTATCCAGTTTAGTTTTTAATCTATGCTGGAGAGGAACTCCTCCCCACTGACTTGTGACTCTTCAAGCCTCTTGCCCCCCCCCCCTTTCCTTGCTGTGGCTCTTGCTGCCATATGTGGGAGACAGAAACCTCTTTCTCCACAACATAAACTTGGTGCTGCTACAGCTGTTGTGCCTCCCCTTTGTAAGCAGGAGTGAAGATGTTTGTTTAGTCGCCTCCTGCCATTGCTGCATGTGATAGCAATAGCGTTAGGTAGGATGGGCAGGTAGGTGGTGCAGGCAGTTGCAAAGTCACAACCACCCCCACTATCTAGTAAGGAGAAGTGCATTATAATCTGTAGGTGTCAAGTCAACACTGTTCCTGGTCTACCAGAAGTAGAGGAGAGGTGGGACAGTGTAGAGGCAGGAACAGCAGTCAAGTGAGGCTTGTTGAAAGAGGAATGTCTTGGGCAAGTGCTGTAAAGAAAATAGAGAGGGTGCTGGTCCAATACGCAAAGGATGGGAGGAGTTCCAAATGATATGTGCTGTCACACTAAACGCCTGATTCCAGCATCACGTGGAATGGACCTCATGAATGATAGGTATATCTACGCGGCAGTAATTCATAGCTTCATTCGTACACGGCACAGTGTGAAGACGGAAACTTTGCTTCCCACAATCAGATCTAACCCTCTAGCGGCCACGGCGAGCAACAACTATTTTATTAGTTTTAAAACATCAGCCCCTTTGGACGAACCCGTTTTGCTCAACTCGGGAGCAATAAGACAGAACTACAGTTCCCAGAAGGCCTTTCGTTGGCGTAGGCCCCGTTGCCAGAAATTACTGGACGAAGCGCCTCAGCCGGAGACCAATCAGAGCTCTAGGTGCTCTTGGGCGGATGTTTCCTCCTCCTCCTGTGGAGAAGTGGGAGACTTTGAAAAGTTTCCAGGTTAGGATTCGGGGCGCGCGGTGGGGGCGACGGGTTCGGTTTCCCCGCCGCGTTTCTCCTTAGCAGGCGGAGTCAAGAAGTTTCTTGGCTGCCACTTCTCCGCCCCAAGGGTGCGTGTGTGTGGCGGTTGTGTGCATGATGTGTGTGCGGGGGTCGAAGGTAGTTCCTGCTGCTGCCGCCCTATCCTGGGTATGTGTTGTGCACGCTATATGCTAGGAGCGTGGAAGGGAAATAGATGGTACAGTTGGGAGCTCGTGCTGTTGGAGGGCCTGGCTGCTGCTTTCGCCTGTGGCCGCCGTCGCTTCTCTCAGCAGGGCCTGAGCCGCCAAGCTGGAGCTTTCCCAGAACGTGGACTCTACCCTACAGCCCTATAGCGGGTTCCAGCGCAATCCTATATATGTCGCTTCGGAAGTAAATCCCGCTGCGCGCAGTGAGACCTCGAAGTGTGCATAGGATTGTTCGCTAGAGCGTGTTCTCCCCCTCCACCAGGAATGGGCAGGGCTATCAGCTTGTGGCAAGGCTGCTTCTCTCCTCATTTAGCAACGTACCAAGACTTTACCGACTGTTAGTTCTTATGGGGCGTTATGTTTTCCTAGGTCAAAACACAATATTTCCTCAGAGGGAATTTTTTTCCTGCCAGCTGGTGTGGTAATTGTCGTAACCTGTGTAGTTCTGACAGATGGCATGTCTGTACGTATTTCAACTGTGCTTATGTGGTATCACTGGCGCTGAACCGTTTCCTCCCCCTTTGGTATTTTGTGACATTAAAAGTTATATCATTCTAAATAAACTTTTGGAGACTGAACACTTGACTGAAACTATTTAAGTATACAGTAAAATGTATCAAACCCCAGAAGGAAAACAGTTTTGTCCTCCGAAACTAGCATTCCTGACATTTTGTGAACTTGTTTTTCCCCCCTCTCCCACATTTACCTGGGAGTAAATGTGGAGTAATTAGGGTGGAGAGAGAGAAATGAAAGGTGAAACCTAATGTGCAACCCTGGATGGAATAAAATGAACTAAAGTGAGAAATGCAGGAGACAGAGTTGGTTTTGCATTTTTTAAAAAAGACATCATATGAACATGGGTGTGGCCAGGATTTTTGTTAGGGGGGGCAGAACCGAAGAGATTGGCCAGTTAGTTAAGTAGTCCTATTGTTTTACTTGATGGGGGCAGCTGACCTTTTCTGTCCCACTTGGCTATGCCCATGCACATGAAATAAACAACTGATCCCTCAAGATGTCGTGCAGTCACCTGTGATAAAACCATGACCTTTTAAAAACACAACCAACTAGTGTAATATGATAGAATGAAAACACTGACAATTATCACTAGCAGTGAGGGAATGATACTGTGCACATAAGCCTAGGACTTACATTTGTATTATAAGTACTAGACTTGGGTACACAACACCATTCTTTCACTGTTGAGTGACCACAGCCATCCTTGGGCATCTAGTATTAAAGGGAATGGCTTTCATATAGCCTTGATCCCTGGCATATCTCTCTTACAAAAATTAGACATTTTGGGGAGGCTGAGATAAATATGATACAGCTGAAATTATTTTAAGAATAGCTGTGATCAAAGTATTATTTGAAAGCTATGGGCTGTGCTTCCAAGTAACTAAGTTCATGTGAACCTAAAGTAGATTCAGTCCATGATGACCTGGGTTGAGATTTTTCTCACTACTCAAAACGTGTTAATCAGAATAACAGTTCTCTTCCCAGGAACATCAGCCTGCCTTTGAATCACCTCAGGACACTGTCTGCAAGAAGACCTGACCATCCCTCTCAGTCAGTGGGGACTGGTGCCCATTGGGATTGCTAGGCTGGTACCAATAAATTGCTTGTAATAAAAGGGGGAGGGATTGTTAGGCTGGAAGGCAGGGAGGTCAACAGTATGTGAAGCCAAAGCCAATGACAGAGCTAACAAATACTGGTTATGTCCTTGTCCTGCTGAATTTTAGAATGGCAAAACCAAGGGTACCACAACTGATCCAATTCTATGTAAGAAGACAGGCAGGTGGGAGCTGGCTGAGGGAAGAGTGAGGTTGGTGAGTGGTGCTTCTTTCACCCCAATGGACTATCCTACACTGGTTTCAAGCCCTGTTTCTAAGCATGAAACTTTAAAAACACAAGAACCCTACACTGAGGACAAGTTGGGAGAAAGCTCCTGGTTGAACTTGCTGGCCAGAAAGAGATACTTGTGACTGCTTTGTTTTGAGTGTCATTCCAATGCCACTTGTGTAAGCTGAGGAAAAGTAAAGGGCCACAAAGGTCTCTGGGCATCTTTTGGTTGCATTGTAACTGATTCTAGAGAGGGGCCAGAACTGGATTTATTACTATTCGTGAAAAACAACAGATTAAGTGAGACGGATGTGCTCGTATTCAGCATTATATTGAATAAGAGATGTAATAAATTCAGTAGAATGAAGGCAAAACTCTCTTAGGGAGGATGTGAACACATTGTTCTTGAACACAGTGTTTCAAGTAATCTTGCATTTATTATGACCTAGGATTGTGTTTCTTGTCACAAAATATATGAACATGGCAAGTAAGAAACTGAGAAGAGCAGGGTTGCCACAGGAGCTTTGTAAGAGACTCAGTCGACATCAGATCACTACTTGTCAGGTGAGACAAATTTAATAGAGGCATAAAGTCTTCTGATGTTACGTTAAAGGATACATGGCATGATTAAGACCAATCTTTGAACTCTTGTCATCTTAATTGCAGAAGAAAATAAATGTTTTAGAAATTGCTTTTAAATATGTGAAGTTATTTTAGTCATTTCCACTCTTAATTCTCCCAGATTTTTGTTTGGTAATGTTTCAGGACTTTTTATGTCTTTCACTACTGGAGTTAATGAAAGTGACTGGACAGAGTTACTGGAATGTGCAGAAGCTTCTTCACACAGTCAGCCAAGCCTGTGCTCCCAGAATGCAAACTGTAAGTATCCATTTGCTGATAGCTTGGTGGGTAGGCATGAGACTCTTTAATCTCAGGGTTGTGGGTTCAAGCCCCATACTGGGCAAAAGATTTCTGCATTGCAGGGGTTGGACTAGCTGACCCTCATGGTTCCTTCCAGCTCTACAATATATGATCCCAGGATAGGAATGACTATTATTGCTATGTGTGTCTCCTGTCTCATCTTTCCACTTGTAGGGGACACTATACTTCAGGTATTAACAATAAATGTGCTTAGCTTTAAAAAGGTTTTCTCCTTATAGAAAGGCTCACAGGAAGGAAGTAACATATGAAGTGAGCCTTGTTCTTGAGAATATTTGTACTAGCAAATGCTTCCTTAGTATATGGCAGAGAAATGGCACAATACATTATTCTCTTGTATGTCAAACAGATAAACTGCTTCTTGTGTTTTGGAAGAGGGACTTAGTTGCCCCTGCACTATTCATTTTCTCTGGAGTTACCATCCTTTGTTCAGTTACTTTTTACAGGACATCCAAGCAACGTCACATAGCTTTCTGTGTTATCCAGCTGTAATGTTTTAGTCTTTTTTGTCTATAGTACAATTTGCTATGGGTACAAATCTCCTAACAAACATTTGCCTTCTACCAAAATCTGTTAGGGTATCAATACTTTGAGATTTAGATTGCATTTATGTTTGTAATAGTTTGCATAAGTCTTGAAAACATTTTATTTTTTAATCTTAATCTGAGGCACAAAGCCTTCCTTTTTCAAATATACCCTTTTCAAGAAATTCCAACATGTTGCATCAAAGCAAAGGGTTTTTGGAAAAGAACCTGCTTGCTTTTTACCTGTTGTTCATGTTAAACACTTTATTAGATTTTTAAAATATATATATATAAGCTTCACAACTCTGTACAAAAATCTCAATAAGCTGGGAATGTTATATGCACACTTACCTGTGAGTAAGCCCCATTGAGTTCAGTTGGACTTAATTCCAAGCAGACAGGTTTAGATTTGTGCAGTAAACCTTGTAATGAACCCAGACTTTTTGGAACCAGTTAGTTTTGTCTTGGTTTGTGGTTTTTACTGTGTGTATGTTTTCCAGCTGTACTTAACCACAAGGATAATATTTTCTCTGAAGTGGTACTTTGCAAATTAAATGATGCATATTGTCCCAAAGAGGGGAAAATATTTTAAAGCTTGGCACGATGATACAAGATATAAATTGAAGGCTGTAGCATAAAAACGTTGATAGACACAACAGTCTTTAATATTGTTTTGTGGTGTTTGGTTTGGTCGGAAGATTGGGGAAAATCTCATTAAAGGATGAGAAAGTACATGGCATTTTTTTTGCCAAGCACTAAGAAATTCTACTTGGGAGCAAACAAATACCAGACATTTTTCTTACCAGTTGATCGCAACATCTTTTTCTAATTGATTTTGGTTATTGTAGGTTTATGAAATGAAAATGAAAAGAACCACCAACCCTTCATCAGCATTCTTGCCCACAACACTGGGAGATCTGGATAAAATATTGCATGGTGGGATTGCCTGTGGCTCTCTTACAGAGGTAAAAGCTGGCCAAACATGCTGCTTCTTTTTCTGTAATAGAAGAGTTGTTTTATGTTTTACATAAAAGGGGTGACTATTCATTAATAAGTTTAAAATGTGACAAACGGAATCTTTTTGTACATTAATAACTGGTTCTGTATAGTTCCAATAATGTGCACTGTAAACTTTCTTGTTAATAGTAATGAACTGAAAGATACAGATGTGTGCTCTCTCTTGCACACATCAGTAATCTTATGAGCAGGTTAGGGGCAGTTGCAGTGCTTGGTTGCAACACAAAACCATAAACCATGTATGAACAAATTAGTCTGTGCCATGATCTGTGTTCTAGTCTACACAGTTTGCTTGTTCCCACTTTGCTTCTCACTTTCTCCAGCAGGAAAACAAGCCATGAAGCACTTGCTTAGTGTTATGAATACACTAGACCTTGTGGTTTGCTTAGCTTCAAGCATGCCACTTTCTGAAGCCAAGGTTTGTTCCTGGCTTCCCAATGGTGGCTTGCTTGAGATAAACAAACCACAGAAGCTGGTTCAGACATAATATGAAGCCAGCCACTCTGTGGTCTGTTTTCCTGCTGGAGCAAAGGAGCAAAGTGTGAACAGCTATGCTGTGTGCATCAGCACACATTTCATATACAAACTAATTTGCTTAACCATGGTTTTGTGGTGCATCTGAATGTAACCAGTGTTTCTGTTTTCTACAGTGGGATCATGTGAATGTTCAGGCTCCCTGAGAGTAGCTTGTAGGCACTTTGTTCCTCCCTGGTCTTTTTTACTCCAACACTGCACTGACTTGAGCCAGATTTTAGATTAGTTTATCATCTGAATCTGTGCTTGTAGTTAAGCTCTCTCCTCACTAGTCACAAGGTTTAGCCAAGAACGTAAGGAGACAACATAACTATGAGCCTGGGTTTGGATGACATTCTAAGCCAAACCTTAGCTTAACTTAGTGCAACACAGGAGTGAAAAGTACTGGGGAGAAGCAAAGTGGCACAGCAGATAAAGCAAACATGATCAGCAGATCGGTAAAAAATATTCAACTTGGTAGGTCAAATGCTGAAAAAAGAACATCTTAGCAGGTGGCCAAAGGTTGACAAAGAGAGGGCAAGTTGGAATTTCATAGCCCAGGTTTGCCCTCGGAGAAGGGTGTTTCCCACACCCCACCCAAAGTCATGTATTTATTTCTTAAAATGTATATACTGCTTGATTGTAAAAAAGCAAAACAAAACCAACTTCAAAATTTAAGCCTCAAACTCATCTGAACTACTAATCCTTGCATTAAGAATCTTTTAGTGAAAAGTTCCATTATAAAGTTTCTAAAATAAATTGCAGGGGAAAGCGCAAAAGCATCCTATAGATTGTCTCAGAGCTCACTCAGTTGTCTGTTTCACTGTGTTTAGTGATAATTGTCAGTAGAGACATGGGGTTTTCCTACCTTTTCCTACATGAAAAATGTAGCAAATGAAGAGTCCCTCTCATTCCAGTCCTATACTGTTCTTCATCTTTAGATAGTTAACAAGAGAGTATTAAAATAACTCCACAGGTTAAGTCTCTTTTACAAATCTCTCCTGTTCATCTGATAGGAAGCAGCTCTTTTGAACTCATCAACCTGATAAAAATGTACTTACTTTTCTAGTTCAGAATTTTGACATGGCCATTTGTGAGATACTTCATACAATAATGGATAGAAGAGATGTTCTTTTGTAATATCCATTAGCAGTTTTGGTCACCCTGGAGAGTTCAGTGAAGACGAGCTAACACTGCCAAATGTTCCCCATGTTTTAGAATAATCATTTTGAAGAATACATGGGGGGGGGATGTCAGAATGCAGAAACTATTTGAAGAATTGCTTTGTGAACAAAACACAAAAGTTATGCTTGTATTTATTTTGCATAAACTCCAGACAGCGTTCCCATTGTGTAATTAAGCTTTTTTATGTGGATGCTTGTGTGATAATCATGCACAGCAACAATTTGAAAGTCGATGTGGTCATACTAAGCGCTAGGAGACCAGAGTTCTCGCTTGACCATGAAGCTCATTGGCTGACTTTTGGCTGGTCACTGTCTCTCAGCCTAACCTACCGCACAGGACTATTGTGAGGATTAAATGAGGACGGGAAGAACCATGGAAGCCACCCTGAGCTCTTTGGAGAAAATGGTGGGATATAAATGCATTAAATAATAATTTAAAGAAGAATGCATATGGCAGTATTTGCGGCATGCCACTGCTATGTACTACTTCGTTATGAAGCTGAGATTGCAGATGAGCCCCCCTAAAGTGCAATACTCCATCTTGATCAAATGTAGCTTCAGTTTAGCTTATTTTCTTCTTGGACTGTTTATGTTAAACTTGGGACGACAGCTAATGCATAGCCTGCACTTTTACCTCAAAGGAATAGTGTTTTATTCCCTACTTTTTGTGGTTACGCTTTTTAAGCTAAATCTTTCTGAAAAAGTTGACCTGTCTTTCTTCTTACATTATCCAACAATGATGGTGGTTGGAAAGTTGGAACTCAGCTACATGAGCCATGTAAAGTAAAGGTTTAAGTGATATCCTCTGCTGCCAGATCTTGTGCTTGTTTTCTGAGAGCCAGGAAACTCTGTTGGCACGGGACCTTTTTTTCCAAACCACTACTGTGGTTTAAACTGGAAACTGAATTGTAAGTAACTCTTTGCGGTCAATCAACTCATGTTCTGCAAATAACATACCATTAACTGAAAAAGAAAAGTGTCTCTTTCCAAAGAGGAAAATTTGAATGCTGTTATCATAGTGAGGTCTCTATTACATGGGCGGACACCTGATTTCAAATTAAAATTGGAATAAGATGAACTATGAATTCTCAACAGGTTTGGGAATTACATTGTTCTAAAGAGTCAGCATATTACTGCTTGTGGATTCATTCCCTCAGGAGATTCAAAATTTATGGGTACAGTGAGCCAAAGGTAAATATTTTTGAGCCCTGCTGACCTTGGTGGGACAGAGTTAAGTTTTACTCAACTTGCCCATTGGAATCAATGTGACTTGGATGCTGCAATCCTGTATGTGCTTAACCTGAATTCAATAGGTCTTAACTTCTGAGCAGCCATGTATAGGATTACTCTATAAGATTGCTTACCTTTGGCAGGATTGTGCCCAGTGTATCAGTTCTTAGACTCCACCCCCCCACCCCAGTATATAAAGCAAATATACTACTTCATAAACAGTCCTGATTTAGGTGTGTCCGAATGACTTGCGATTGCACACACATGTTTGGCAGCAAACCTGGAAGTAGTCCCGAAGCATCACAAAAGGGGTGAGGGGTGTGTGAAGAGGGTTTATGTGCGCTATACTGACACGTATGGGAGTCTGGAGTGGAACCCCCATGCAAAATGAGGATTGCCCATATACACAAAAGCAATATTAAAAAGCTACAAAAATATCTCACAGAGTTAATATATAATTTTGTTATCCTGCCACAGGTTTGCTTGTTTTTCCACTGAAGTGTGTTTGTGGATTAGAAGTCGAACCTTTAAGGTTCAGCTTATCATTGCCATCAGTTTG